TTGAAATACTTCCAGTGATCACATCCATTCCACTACCCTTTCCCCGTGATACCCCTGAGCATTGCCAACCACCAACTATCGATGACCACCCCCAACTTTCTCTTTCTTTTTCTCTACATGTAAGACTCCATGAAACTATCCATATTCCTCAGGACGTACATAAAAAAATAAATAACTCCCAAAAAAAAAAAAAACACAACATTACACAAGGTGCCGCACCCTTTCACCACCTCATAACACTGCTGACAGTCTCCCAATAACCACTCCTGATAACCTTGAACACTTCCAGTGATCACATCCATTCCATTGCCCCTTCCCTGTGATACCCTTGAGCACTACCAGCCACCAACTATCGATGACCACCCCCAACGTTCTCTTTTTTTTTCTCTACCTGTAAGACTCCACGAACACTATCCATATTCCACCGCTAATATCCATCACCACCATCAACCCTCTAAATGACATTCGCTCTAACACACACACATTCTCAACGTCTTACACAAAAAAAGGTACAAACCCTAACCTTGGCTACTCTTACAATTCTCTATACGGCTGGCACCGCCTCTATCAAGTCGCCCCAACCTATAACACAATCATATTGCTCCTCTTTCTCCATTATTACCCGTGAACCCATAATTTCATATTTTCAATTAAATTTCAAAAAAAACAAATAGAAAATTCTAGAGGGAGTAGAGATAATTTCACTATCAAAATTCAAAACTAATTCTTCAACTTTGAATTTGAAATGCAGAATTTAGATAGTGATCAATTTTTTGGGCTAGTGCCTTGAATTGGAGGTTGATTGCCTATGGAATTTACCACAAATCAAGATTTTGTGTACTATGGTGCGTGTGCATTTGACAACAAGAGACATTTGTGTATTGAGGGGAGAGGGATAGAGTAGATGTGTGGGTGCGGTTTCATGAGACAAAACTGGAGCGATTGGTGTAGAGGGAGAGAGAGAAATCCATTGTGAGTGAGAAAAAAGATAGAGGAAGAAGAAAGTATATGTTTGATACCATATTTAATATTATTCTTAAAGGGGATAGTTGTGTTTGGATGTAAGAATTGTATTGAAATACCAAAAATGTCCATTAATATTGTCATGTGCGAGGCACGTGATATCTTTCATCTGTTGTTTGAACGACTGTTGGGTCAAGGACCATGTTAGTAGANTAGTTGTGTTTGGATGTAAGAATTGTATTGAAATACCAAAAATGTCCATTAATATTGTCATGTGCGAGGCACATGATATCTTTCATCTGTTGTTTGAACGACTGTTGGGTCAAGGACCATGTTAGTAGAATATGTGAACTTTTAGGATTAAATTGATGAAATTAAAAATTTGAGATCGAATGTGTAACAAATGACAAATCTCAGGGGCTATTAGTGTAATTTACCCTACTTCTACTAAGGAAAAATTATATCCAGACCCTTTAAAGTTTGTTACTTAATCACTTAAACCTTTGACATTAAAAATATTATATATAGACCCCTGAGGTTTGTATACGCGTAACTTAGACTTTGCCTAATGTTAATCAATTATACTTAAACCCTTTGAAGTTTGTAGGCATGTACACTTANATTTAAACCTTTGACATTTAAAATATTATATATAGACCCCTGAGGTTTGTATACGCGTACCTTAGACTTTGCCTAATGTTAATCAATTATACTTAAACCCTTTGAAGTTTGTAGGCATGTACACNACTTAAACCTTTGACATTAAAAATATTATATATAGACCCCTGAGGTTTGTATACGCGTAACTTAGACTTTGCCTAATGTTAATCAATTATACTTAAACCCTTTGAAGTTTGTAGGCATGTACACTTAAGTTCCTCAAATTTAAAATATTACACTTAAACTCCTTATTAGTTACGAAACTTACAAAATCTATTAAATGACCAAATTATCCCAATTAAAGATAGAAGATATTGCATTCATTATAGTTTGACCATTTGCTTTGTTTTTTAGTTTTATTTTAATAAACAATATAATTGTATGCAAATGAACGTTAAATTGAGTTTTTTTGATGTATTTATACTTATTACAGTACGTAGTACATATTTTTGAGTCACTTATTAACTTACGCATTGGAGAATCGACCNTACAAATGAACGTTGAATTGAGTTTTTTTGATGTATTTATACTTATTACAGTACGTAGTACATATTTTTGAGTCACTTATTAACTTACGCATTGGAGAATCGACCTCCGGAGCTCCCTTTTGGACTCTGACTTCTTNTGCAAATGAACGTTAAATTGAGTTTTTTTGATGTATTTATACTTATTACAATACGTAGTACATATTTTTGAGTCACTTACTAACTTACGCATTGGAGAATCGACCTCCGGAGCTCCCTTTTGGACTCTGACTTCTTTTTCAGGTAATCGAAACACAATAAACTGACGTGTAAGTCATCCAAATTTTGACATCAACAGTACTAACTAAGATTTTTTTAAAAAAAAATTGAATTTTTATTTTTAATTTTATCTCAATAAATGATATAATAGAATATGAATTTTATTTANCGTCCAAATTTTGACATCAACAGTACTAACTAAGATTTTTTTTTAAAAAAATTGAATTTTTATTTTTAATTTTATCTCAATAAATGATATAATAGAATATGAATTTTATTTATAAAATTTAAAATATTTGATATTTTATCTTTAATTGAAATATTTTTTTATCTAAGTGTAATATTTTAAACTTGAGGGGTTTAAATGTTATATGTCTATAAACTTCTGGAGGTTTAGGTGTAATTTACTAATAGATATACTAACTAACGTTGATGGTAAAAGTCTAAGTGTTACACGTGTACAAATTTTAGAGAGTCTGTATGTAATATTTTAAACTAGGGGTAACGTGTACCTGAAGGTACGGTACAACATAAATCAACCAATTAATTTAGAAAAGTGAGGAGTGAAGATCATTGAGAACAGTGGCAGAGCTAAAAATATGATTTAGGGTAGACACACTTTAAGTATAATCATACCAATATTTTAAATAATTAATTTTGGTTTGCTAATTTTAAGAGATTGAAATAAACTTTTTGCTTTAGTTTTTTTGTTATAATACCCAACTTGTTTGATTTAATTAATTTTGTTTTACATAAAAAATTGCAGTGGGCTCAATTAATCCAAAAAAATATATAAAACTNTAAAGGTACTTTTAAGAGATTGAAATAAACTTTTTGCTTTTGTTTTTTTGTTATAATACCCAACTTGTTTGATTTAATTAATTTTGTTTTACATAAAAAATTGCAGTGGGCTCAATTAATCCAAAAAAATATATAAAACTAATATAACTAAAAAAATATATATTTTTTCAGGGTAGCCCCAGGCCCTTCCTCCTTTATCATTGCTAGAAAGAGAGAGTGAAGAGTGAGAAGTGGAGAGTAAAATTCAATATGAATGATTTTGAGAGAGATGTTGGTGACAGTTGGATGAATGAATTTTAGACTGTAGGATATGCCTGTTGAAATCGCCCTATTTTATATTATAGATAAATTCACGAAATATGATAAAATTGACTTAAATTTTTTTTAATTTATATACATGTAATCAAAATCGAGTTAAATTTAATACAAACTAAAAATTTAATTTATCAAAAAGCATATCGCCAAAATATTTTCTATCAAAAAAAGATCTATAAATATTTTTTATAAAATATTTTTTTTTAATTTGTACAAGCTATTACAAAATTATTAATTTAAAAGAATAAATTAACGTTGGGTATCCTTAAGATATAAAAAAAATTAGTCTTGAATTTTTTATTCAAGATATGTAAAAGACATGTTAATTTGAGATAATTAATTTAAAATTAAAATTAATTATATTCAATATAAATGTGTTTAACAACGACCTTGTTTTGTTTTATCTTAAATAAATTGATGAGATTTTTTTAATCAAAATATTATTATTGTGTCTTATACAAATTTAAAATATTACACTACAAATATGACATTAATGACAAATTTGACCCATTTAATTATTATGTTAGAAGAAATCTTGTATTCGAATATCAGTCGTAATTGTTGACCGATTGGAAGGAAAAATATTAAGAAAAGAAATATTAATTTTTTAACCGTTGAATAAATGAATTTGAGATCGTAAGATATGTTTTAAGATCAGTCGCAATCGTTGACTTATTGGGGGAAATATTAAAGAAAAACATTATAATTTTTTAACCGTTGGATGAATGAATTTGAGACCGTAGAATCGACTTGTTGAAACCGCCCTGTTATATATTGACAAATTTGACACATTTAATTATTATGTTAGAGGAAATCTTGTATTCCAATATCAGTCGTAATTGTTGACCAATTAGAAGGAAAAATATTAAGAAAAAAAAATATTAATTTCTTAACCGTTGGATAAATGAATTTAAGATCGTAAGATATGTTTTAAGATCAGTCGCAATCGTTGACTTATTGGGGGAAATATTAAAGAAAAAAATTATAATTTTTTAACCGTTAGATGAATGAATTTGAGACCGTAGAATCGACTTGTTGAAACCGCCCTGTTATATATTGACAAATTTGACACATTTAATTATTATGTTAGAGGAAATCTTGTATTCCAATATCAGTCGTAATTGTTGACCAATTAGAAGGAAAAATATTAAGAAAAAAAAATATTAATTTCTTAACCGTTGGATAAATGAATTTAAGATCGTAAGATATGTTTTAAGATCAGTCGCAATCGTTGACTTATTGGGGGAAATATTAAAGAAAAAAATTATAATTTTTTAACCGTTAGATGAATAAATTTGAGACCGTAGAATTGACTTGTTGAAATCGCCATGTTTTATATTAAAGATATTATGAGTTTATATAATTATGAGACGTTTATGTAATTTCCCCTCCTACTAAATTGTCTAAACGTGTGAATGAACTCCATCTCCCCTCTAAAAAATAAAAAAATAAAAGAACCCCATATCCTCTCTGCGAACCAAAGAAGAAAAAGGTAGAAGAAGACTAGAAGAGGCAGAGATGGCTCGGAGCGTCACATACATGACAGGCTCTCAGCTGCTATCTCTCAAGCGTCATCCAAACATAGCTGTTATTGATGTCAGGTACATATATTTGTAGCTATTTTGCAGAGCATAGCATATATTTGTTTCGTTTGTTGTTGATTTGTTGGAATTGTAGGGATGATGAGAGGAGTTATGATGGGCATATAGCTGGATCACTTCACTTTGCGAGCGATACCTTCAGTGACAAAATGCCCAGTTTAATTCAAGCTGTCCAAGGGAAAGATACCATTGTTTTTCACTGCGCTCTGAGCCAGGTCTTTTGCGCTTTGTTTACCCAATTTGGGCTTTATTGTTTCATTATTATTTGGATTCCTATTTTTGTGAGTTTATTGATTTTGATCTCACCCGAATTTCGTTATCTTTCTTTATATGCATACATCTAATATTTGATGAAAGGGGGTTTTGTAATATGCATGTGAAAATTAGTTTCCGAGGGATGGGTTCAGGAAATTATGCTGCTAGCAGCATGAATTTCATAGGATTGTGTTGTGTGGTAGTGGATTGGTGGTGATTTCTAGATGCCAAGTTTTTTGTTGAGTTGATAAAGATTTTTAATTTCACAAATGTGTCTTGTGGGGACAATTTCTTAATTCTGCTTGCCCATTTGTGTTTAGTTTAAGTTCACCTTAGCTACCTTTTTTTGTGGATTGCTTCGTTGAGGATGACCATTGGATCTATGAGCAGTTATTAATTGCAGTGGGTGATTTTGTATATTTGGAGTCAAATTACTGGTCCCATTATGGGTAATCTGATCAAAATTCTGGAATTACAAGTCCTTGGACACGCTGTCATTGCCTGTTGGATTGTATATGTCATTCTTTGCACTTGGTAATATCTGTTTATGACCCCTATATTGAAGTTAAATATTGTCAGCTCACTTTGAAGTTGGATAGGGAGATATGAATCCCCAGCTACAAACCTAAGCAAACCATTTAAGGCTCTTTCCTAGCACTCGGTTTGATAGGGAGATATGAATCCAAATCCCCAATCCACCCTGACGTACGTCTTTACAGACTTGCTGCCCAATATCCCAAGGTACCATGGCTGACATAATGTCTTTACGGCCATGGTGGTTGATACGATGGCATTGTCATAGAGCCAGTAAAGATTAGGGAATTCGGGGTTGTGGCAATTGTAGTGAGTTGTAATCTCCTGTTATTTATACATGCCCTTACCAATGAATGCCTAGGCTGATTATTTGGTTGGCAGAACGTCAATTCCGTGAAGGCTTAAATAAGTTAGTTGGACTTGAGCAATCTGTAAGGGGCTTGAGGAAAATCTTGTTTTTGTAGTGAATTAAGCTAGCTTGACAACAAATAATTGACCATGAGAATACTTTGTTTGCATCAAACGGCAAAAGAATAATGTTGCTGGTGAAGAAAAAGTTAAATCATTGGAAGATTGGTTTTCCACCAGGAAGAAGAGATTGACAGTGGTTTCAAGGTATTTTGTATCTGATGCTGGTAAAGTCTCAACAACTGCCTTTAGAAGACGAGGAGCTATAGGATTCTTTTGTTGAATTGGTTTCTATTGATATTAATCCAAGATAATGGATCCATGTGGTATAACGTGTTAATTTGTGTGCTGCCTTTAAATCCTGCAGTTTTATCCCAAAATTATCCTCCTATTATTGCTTTATGAATCCCATGAACTCAGCACCTTTGCATTCCTAAAAGTTTCAATTGGAAAAACTTATAAATGTTTCCAATAACTGGATTGTTTTTATTTTTCTTTGTCCTGACCAAAAACAAAATATATTTTTCTTTGTAGGTTCGTGGCCCCAAATGTGCGCGAAGATTTTCTGAATATCTTACTGAAATGAAAGAACATGCGGGAATAAAGAATATAATGGTCTTGGAACGTGGCTATAATGGCTGGGAAGCCTCGGGTAGACCTGTTTGTCGCTGCTCTGATATTCCCTGTAAGGGTGACAGTTCATAGAGATCTATTTAAATAAATGCTTCTCAATAAGGGAGCATATTATGTTGCAAAGCTGATTATACAAGTTTTGTACCGCATACTTGTTTGGAATTTCACAGTTGGTATTCTAGAACATGTGATCCATTGTCAGTGAGCATACCTGATTGTATGGATTGATTGCTGGAAATTAGTTTCTGTTGGTCCTTTTTGGTTTCTGTTTAATTACTCAGCTTCTCATCATGTGAAAGAATGGTGGGAAAGAACCCAGAAAGTTACTGGTGTTGGAAAGTTAATTGGCTTTTCCTTTCAGCTTAATGTCTTCTCTCTCTGGCACGTGTGTGTGCGTGTGTGGCCACACACACATTCATGCACTTACCACAGAGAGAGAGTGACCCCTCATGATGAGCGGTGCCATAGGTGAGTTCAAATTATAAAATTAGGCTTTCAAAAACTATATGACAATCTGAGATATAGGGTTTGGCTTTAAATCAAGTCTAATTTCCCATCAAATATGACATGTATCTGAGTTTGATTTAATTTCATTTAGGTTTACTGCCACGTGATTTCTCCATTGGACTGGTGGTATTTACATTATGAATGTTGCATGCTGGCCATGGCCCTTGCATTATCCAGCAGCACTTGGATTCAGAGATAATACTTGCTAAAGAAGACAACCAAGTTAGTGTCTTAGCTGAGTTGAGCTACATTTGATTATCTCTCGGTTGGCTCTGATGCCTACGAAGGAGGAATGGTCCTTGATGAATTGGATGAGGGCAGAGAATATCATAAGAATGAGAGGTGTGGCGTATGTCCAGCACCACACTTCGAGATCGCGTTCTAGTTCTATTTTTGTAGATCGGATGGGACCGGACTACTTGCAGCGAACAAGTTCATGTGCTGTTAGTTGTCTTCCACATTATGCAGAGAGGGAAAAAAACCCTTCATACATGTCTTTTATAATCCAGCAATACAATACAAACCCAACATTTATTCTTTATGATTTGTTGGATGCATATGGTGTGTGTCTCCTTTGGCCAAAGGCGTAAGTTAATAACGCCTACGTATTTCTTGATCAAATTTACATTCCAGTTTGGGGTAAAAAGAGATTTATTCAAGTAATTGAGGGGATAATATAAACAAATTTGCATTTAAGGGGACAAAGTATGATTAGACCAAACTACAGGGCTCAAAGTGTAATTTTATTTTACTTACCTAATTTTTTTATTTTTATTTTCATTTGAAGCGTTTCCCCAAAGAAAGATTACCAATTTTTGTTAAATGTTCTTTGGGATGCAATGGTAAGGGCAACTTCACCCTTATTCAACTCTTGGAGCAAATATAATTTTGGATAAAAATAAACTAATAAGTTATAATTCTGTTTTCAATTTTTTACCCAAATAAAATAAGACTCAAATTTTTAATAATCCTATATATTCCTTTATCCATTGATCGTATTGCTACCTCTTTTATGAATTTTCCTATTCTATATTTTTTTACTCCTTAGTTTAAAAAACATGATGGATAAATTATATTCAAACCCTCTAAAATTTGTCATTTAATCATTTAGATTCCCTCATATTTGACATATTATACCTACATCCCCTAAAGTTTGTACGCGTATAACACATAACCTCGATCACCGGTCTTCGTTAATGTAGCTGTTAAAAATTCGTCAGACTTCATTAAAATAAATATTTTTTTTGTAAACTTTAAGAAAAATAACTCATGATTTTAATAACATGTGTTTTGGTTATTTGTTTAAGCATTAGTGTTAATCTGAATATATGGTGTGGCAGGACATGAGTTTTGGTACATCAATTTTTTGTAAAAAACATATCTATTATAATTAGGGTTCTTGTACATCAGGATTTCCCTTTTTTTTTTGGTTTCCTTAGTCCACTGTTTGTTAGCAAATTGATATCAAATAAAAATAGAAAATACTCACTATTATAAAATTTTTAACTAATAGCAAAGAAATATATATTATGTTTCATGAATTTTTAATGGCTACCTTAAGGATACTGTGATAGGGGTTATATGTTAGACGCGCACAAATTTTAAGGGTCTAAGTGTAATATATCAAATATGAAGGGATCTAAGTAATTAAATAATACACTTTAGGGGATTTAAGTGTAATTTATCCAAATACATAGACCATTCATCATTTGTGAAGGTTAGATTATTATTTTTTACTTTAATAATAAAGTATTATGCATTTTTTAAGTTACAAAATATAAAAATAACATGACAAAAATAATTGATGTTTGTTTATTTATCTATGCTATTAATACAGGAAGAGGGTGGTTGTAGTGTCAGCATAAGAAATGTTTATAATACCATGTTGTATGTTGAAATGCATTCAACTAAGGACAACTCTTATATCTAATTATATGAATCTACCTTACTCTATTTTTTTTCTTCTGCACGTGAGTACAAGAAGAGTTAAAGCATGATGAAAATAGGAATGCAAAGAGAGTTGGGAATGGAGGGATAATTAAGATAAACAAAAATTTAATTTAATTTAATTTTTTATCCATAAATGATATAATAGAACATAAAAATTTCGTTATAAAATTTAAAATATTTGATATTCTATTTTTGATTAAATTTTTTTTTTAAATAAAATATTTTAAATTTGAGGTGTTTAAATATTATACACATACNTTAAATTTTTAATAATCCTATATATTCCTTTATCCAATGATTGTATTGCTACCTCTTTTATGAATTTTCCTATTCTATATTTTTTTACTCCTTAGTTTAAAAAACATGATGGATAAATTATATTTAAACCCTCTAAAATTTGTCATATAATCATTTAGATTCCCTCATATTTGACATATTATACCTACATCCCCTAAAGTTTGTACGCGTATAACACATAACCTCGATCACCAGTCTTCGTTAATGTAGCTGTTAAAAATTCGTCAGTCTTCATTAAAATAAATATTTTTTTTGTAAACTTTAAGAAAAATAACTCATGATTTTAATAACATGTGTTTTGGTTATTTGTTTAAGCATTAGTGTTAATCTGAATATATGGTGTGGCAGGACATGAGTTTTGGTACATCAATTTTTTGTAAAAAACATATCTATTATAATTAGGGTTCTTGTACATCAGGATTTCCCTTTTTTTTTTGGTTTCCTTAGTCCACTGTTTGTTAGCAAATTGATATCAAATAAAAATAGAAAATACTCACTATTATAAAATTTTTAACTAATAGCAAAGAAATATATATTATGTTTCATGAATTTTTAATGGCTACCTTAAGGATACTGTGATAGGGGTTATATGTTAGACGCGCACAAATTTTAAGGGTCTAAGTGTAATATATCAAATATGAAGGGATCTAAGTAATTAAATAATACACTTTAGGGGATTTAAGTGTAATTTATCCAAATACATAGACCATTCATCATTTGTGAAGGTTAGATTATTATTTTTTACTTTAATAATAAAGTATTATGCATTTTTTAAGTTACAAAATATAAAAATAACATGACAAAAATAATTGATGTTTGTTTATTTATCTATGCTATTAATACAGGAAGAGGGTGGTTGTAGTGTCAGCATAAGAAATGTTTATAATACCATGTTGTATGTTGAAATGCATTCAACTAAGGACAACTCTTATATCTAATTATATGAATCTACCTTACTCTATTTTTTTTCTTCTGCACGTGAGTACAAGAAGAGTTAAAGCATGATGAAAATAGGAATGCAAAGAGAGTTGGGAATGGAGGGATAATTAAGATAAACAAAAATTTAATTTAATTTAATTTTTTATCCATAAATGATATAATAGAACATAAAAATTTCGTTATAAAATTTAAAATATTTGATATTCTATTTTTGATTAAATTTTTTTTTTAAATAAAATATTTTAAATTTGAGGTGTTTAAATATTATACACATACAAACTATAGGGGGTCTCGAAATAATTTATTAACAAATATTTTAACTACATTAATGACAGATGTTTAAGTGTTAGTGTGTATAAATTTAGGGGTCTGTATGTAATATTTTAAATTTTACTNTAATTTTTTTATTTTTATTTTCATTTGAAGCGTTTCCCCAAAGAAAGATTACCAATTTTTGTTAAATGTTCTTTGGGATGCAATGGTAAGGGCAACTTCACCCTTATTCAACTCTTGGAGCAAATATAATTTTGGATAAAAATAAACTAATAAGTTATAATTCTGTTTTCAATTTTTTACCCAAATAAAATAAGACTCAAATTTTTAATAATCCTATATATTCCTTTATCCATTGATCGTATTGCTACCTCTTTTATGAATTTTCCTATTCTATATTTTTTTACTCCTTAGTTTAAAAAACATGATGGATAAATTATATTCAAACCCTCTAAAATTTGTCATTTAATCATTTAGATTCCCTCATATTTGACATATTATACCTACATCCCCTAAAGTTTGTACGCGTATAACACATAACCTCGATCACCAGTCTTCGTTAATGTAGCTGTTAAAAATTCGTCAGTCTTCATTAAAATAAATATTTTTTTTGTAAACTTTAAGAAAAATAACTCATGATTTTAATAACATGTGTTTTGGTTATTTGTTTAAGCATTAGTGTTAATCTGAATATATGGTGTGGCAGGACATGAGTTTTGGTACATCAATTTTTTGTAAAAAACATATCTATTATAATTAGGGTTCTTGTACATCAGGATTTCCCTTTTTTTTTTGGTTTCCTTAGTCCACTGTTTGTTAGCAAATTGATATCAAATAAAAATAGAAAATACTCACTATTATAAAATTTTTAACTAATAGCAAAGAAATATATATTATGTTTCATGAATTTTTAATGGCTACCTTAAGGAGACTGTGATAGGGGTTATATGTTACACGCGCACAAATTTTAAGGGTCTAAGTGTAATATATCAAATATGAAGGGATCTAAGTGATTAAATAATACACTTTAGGGGATTTAGGTATAATTTATCCAAATACATAGACCATTCATCATTTGTGAAGGTTAGATTATTATTTTTTACTTTAATAATAAAGTATTATGCATTTTTTAAGTTACAAAATATAAAAATAACATGACAAAAATAATTGATGTTTGTTTATTTATCTATGCTATTAATACAGGAAGAGGGTGGTTGTAGTGTCAGCATAAGAAATGTTTATAATACCATGTTGTATGTTGAAATGCATTCAACTAAGGACAACTCTTATATCTAATTATATGAATCTACCTTACTCTATTTTTTTTCTTCTGCACGTGAGTACAAGAAGAGTTAAAGCATGATGAAAATAGGAATGCAAAGAGAGTTGGGAATGGAGGGATAATTAAGATAAACAAAAATTTAATTTAATTTTATTTTTTATCCATAAATGATATAATAGAACATAAAAATTTTGTTATAAAATTTAAAATATTTGATATTCTATTTTTGATTAATTTTTTTTTTTAAATAAAATATTTTAAATTTGAGGTGTTTAAATATTATACACATACAAACTATAGGGGGTCTCGAAATAATTTATTAACAAATATTTTAACTACATTAATGACAGATGTTTAAGTGTTAGTGTGTATAAATTTAGGGGTCTGTATGTAATATTTTAAATTTTACTGTATCAAATCAAATTTTTTTTAATCAACTATTAAATCAAATTTAAATAGTGAAAAATTGAGCAATCAGATAGCCTTAAATTTGGAGAAAACGAAGCAGCCCCAGTTGACGCCTACGAACATAATCATCAACAACAGAGACAAAACGGAAAGTCAGGACGAGAAACACAAGGAAAAGGAATTGAAGATGGTACTTACTCGATTCTCTCTCCTTCCTGATCGGTTCGATGATCTCCTAATTTCCTAATCTGGGACTGTTTTTTTGGTGTATGAAATGTGTGATTTAGGTTTGCTTGGCGTGTTTGTTGCCTCTCTTCCTCGTTCCAATCGTCAACATTTTGCCTCTCCTCTTCGATTTCATTATTGTAAGACTCATCCTATGTGTTATATTTTAGCAACTTATCTCTGTCTCCGACATGTGTGTGTGCCCTTCAATTTTAAAAAAAAAATTGTAATTTTTGCAGGGAAAAGTGTATAGAATGTTGGGGTGGGAATATCGGAAGCCGGAGAGAGCACCCGCTGCTTGTCCCTACAAGCCTGCAGCCACCAATCCCAAAACTACTGTAATTCATTTGCCTATATGTCAAGCTTACATTTATATATTGCATATACATTATTTCTTTCTTTTCTTTCTATGGTATATTTCCATTAGATTGAGCCAAAAAATTGTTAGTTGGAGAGTGTGGTTTGGTGGCTTAGATTTGTTGTTGAGGACCCAAGGGTGTTAATCTTGAGGAAATGAAGCCGAAGCTGAAGATTCAAGAGGGCGAGAAAGATGAAATGATTTTCATTCAATTCAATACGAAATCTGTTTACATCATCTACTCTTTATATAGTACATTATCGACTGTAACAAGAATCTATCTAATTAAACACAGCTAACATCTTCTAACAAACATAAAAACCTGACAGTAAGCATAACTAACTCTAACTCTACCAGCTTTGTGAAGTGCCTCATTCTCAATACACCCCCTCAAGATGGAGTGTGAATGTTGAGAATACCCACCTTGCTAAGTAGAAGATGAAACTGAGGGATGCCAAGGGGTTTGGCGAAAAGGTCACCCAGTTGATTGGAAGAAGTGAGATGTAAAGCTTTGAGAGAACCAGCTTGGATTTTGTCAGGAATAAAATGGCAATCTAGCTCAATGTGCTTTGTTCTTTCGTGAAACACTAGATTGACTGCAATGTGAGGAGCAACTTGGTTGTCACAAAAAAACAAAGTTGAGAATGAAGAATCTGAAGGTTAGCAAGGAGCTGACGCAACCAAGTCAATTCACAACCATTTGAAGCCATGGGTCTATATTTTGCTTCATCAGAGGAACGAGAGACTGTGGCCTGTTTCTTGGACTTCCTGGAGATGAGAAAAAAACACAGAATCATGTAACAGAGTGTTTGGTGTCAAGACATTCAGTTCCAATGCAAATCAGATGAGGCAAAGAAGAATAAACCCTGTGCTGGTGTGGTNGCCTGTTTCTTGGACTTCCTGGAGATGAGAAAAAAACACAGAATCATGTAACAGAGTGTTTGGTGTCGAGACATCCAGTTCCAATGCAAATCAGATGAGGCAAAGAAGAATAAACCCTGTGCTGGTGTGGTTTTGAGATATCTTAGTATTCTGTGAACTGCATCAAGATGAGGCTGTCTTGGAGTGTCCAAGTACTGGTTTAGAACTTGAACAACATATGCCAAATTGGTCGAGTGAGAGTTAAGTACTAGCCTCCCTATCAGCCTTTTATAAGCAGAAGGATCCTCAAGCTCTGCTCCTGTTTGTTTATCAAGTTTTAAATGTTGCTCCATAGGAGATTTAGTTGGTCCAGCACCAAGTAAGCCAGAATCTTGAAGTATTTCAAGAGCAAATTTTCGTTGACAAACCGAAATGCGATTGGAAGTTCTGGCAACTTCAAGTCCCAAAAAAATATTTCAAGGTACCAGGGTCCTTGGTATGGAATTTATTATGCAAGAAAGACTTTAGAGCAATAGCTAGAGAGGGATCATCAGTGGCTATATGACTATGTCATCAACATAGATGAACATAGCAATAAAGGAAGTAGATGTAGTCTTGATGAATAAAGAGTTATCAGATTTTGACCGAGTAAAAAGAGTTTTGAAAACCAATGTCTAGAGGCTTGTTTCAATTCATAAAGAGACTTATTTAAGCGACTAACTTGATGATTGCTTTACTTAGCAAAACCAAGAGGAAGATTCATATATACCTCATCTATGAGATCTCCATGTAGAAATTCATCATGCACATCTAATTGAAACAAATGCCAGCATTTGATTGTAGGAAGAGCCAAAAAAAATCTTATGGTAGTGAATTTAGCTACGGGAAAAATGTCTCACGATAATCTAAACCCTCTCTTTGTGTAGCCTTTGGCCACAAGCCTTGCCTTGTGTCTTTCTATAGTGCCACTAGCTTTGTACTTGATTTTATACGCCCATTTACAACCAATAGGAAATTTACCATACGAGTGTAATAACAGTCCAGCTGTTATTGGCCTCAAGTGCCTGAATTTCAGAATTCATGGTCTCACACCATTGAGGAGACTTAACAACCTCATGAAACAATTGTGGTTCATAGTTTGAAGAAATAGCTAAACTATAAATCCTGTGAGATGGAGAAAGTTTAGTATAAGAAATAAAATTAGATATACTTTGAATTGTACCTGATGACTTTAAAGCTGGAACCATAGAAGATGAAGAGGATGGTTGAGAAGAAACAACCTGACAGTGATAATCCTGTAAGTGTCCTGGAGGTCTTTTTGTCCTAGTAGACTACCTTGGTAAATCAGTGATAGTAGGAGGAGAAGATTGAAGGCTAGAATTTGCAGAGGATGATGTAACGGGGGGTAAAGAAGGAAGATTGGAAATAGTATCAGACATGGATGAAGGAAGAATAGTAGACTCTGCAACATCATGAGATGAATGAGAAGAAGAATGAAGAAATGGAAATAGATGTTCACGAAAAATAACATCTTTGGATAAAAAAAATAGAATGTGTCTGTAAATTATACACTTGTAAGCTTTGACAGCTAGGGGGTATCCTATGAACACACATTGTCGAGCCCTAGGATCAAACTTAGTTCTTTTGTAAGAAAGAGTTGATGCATAACACAAACAACCAAAAACTTTTAAGTGAGAGTATTGTGTTCTTCTGGAGAACAAAAGCTCATAAGGAGATTGTCCAGCAAGATTAGGAGTGGGAATACGATTGATCAAATATGTTGCCGTTAAGACAGTTTTCCCAAAAAGAGAGTGGAAAATTGGCTTGAAACCTAAGACTACTTTGAGAAGATGTTGGTGTTTCCTCTCAACTACCCCATTCTGCTGAGGAGTATCAAGACAATTGTGTTGATAAATGACCCCTTTAGAAAAAGAAAAAAAGAGGTCATAGTAAATTCAAGACCATTATCAAATTTAATGGTCTTAATGGTTCTGTGAAACTGGGTTTTTACTAGTGCAAAGAAAGATTCAAGTAAAGATCTTGTGTATGACTTGGACTTCATCAAATACACCCAAGTGCATTTGGGAAAGTCATCTACAATAGTTAAAAAATATGAAGAACCATTCAATGAGAGAGTGGAAAAAGGACCTCATATATCAGAGTGTATCAATTCAAAAGGGACCACTGAAACAATCTTACTAAGAGGAAAAATTAATCTATTCTATTTAGCATAATGACAGATGTTACAATGATCAAAAACAAAAACAGAAATTTCAGGTGTATGCTTGTGTAACAATTGTGTTCTCTGTGAAGATAAATGGCCAAGTCTATAATGCCACATATTTGGAAGCACTTCAGGTGAATTGTAAACAGATGAAACAATAGAGGAAGACTTTGCTGTTGGTTCTGTTAAGAGGAAATACTGGCTATTTCGTTCTTCACCCATCTCAATTACCTTCCATGTTAACAAGTCCTGAACAAAATAGTGCCCAGGTAAGATTAAGAATCAGCAAGACATTTGATAAGTAAGTTTGATAGTAGAAAGAAGATTAAAATTGAAAGATAGAGCACATAGAACATTTGTTAGAAAAATTGTGTTTGAAAGCTTGACAACTCCAATATGATTAACTGAGACATTACTTCCGTTTGGTAGCTTGACTAAAGTATTAGGCACAAAAATGACAGAATAAAGGTAATTGACTAAACACACTATGTGATCGGTGGCACCAGTATCTATTATCTAAAGAATGATTGACACAGAAGAATTTAATGAAGGGAAATTTGGAGGTTGGTCCTCCTATATGGACTTATTTGGAGATAAGTCCGTTAAGAAAACTTATTTAGTTTTAAATCTGCTTTTTGTCAATTTTACTATTATAACCCTTCCCTGTAAGAATGTTATAAACGACGTTTATGGACACAATAACCAGAGATAAACATCTCATTCATAATCGCCTTCAAATCTGGCTACAATCTTCCAAACAACAATGTTTCCTTATCCGAAAAACAAGAAACAAGCATTTATAAAAAACCGTTCATATTCAAATTTCAAATCCATTACATTCCATAAAATACAATTTCAATTTATTATTCCAGTTTACTTTGGACTTCATCGACAAAATATTAATATTGAATATTAATATTTAAAAAATAACAATAATAACATACTTAAAAAAGATAGTAATATGGTCACCAAAAATAGTAAAATGCTCACAAAAAAATAGTAACATGGTAAAACAGTAATAATAATTAGGAATTTAATTCAATTAAACTGGGCATTAACCTTGTAATAAAGATTCAAGAGAACTCATCTATTAGTACTAAATTAAAGTGTTATAAATTTTGATTTTGTTGATTTTTTTGTTGCATAAGACAATCGAGTATTTCTTAGTTGTGTTACTGTGGAAAAAATTCATATTACTGTACGTGAACCGAAAAATAGAGTTCAGAATTTCAATGTCTTGATGTTCACAATTAGTGTTGAGTGTCGTAATTCAACTGTTGATTGTGCGTTACTTTTCGTCATTTTGTAAATTTTTAATTTGTGGATCGTATTTTCACTAAAATCATTCGAAAATTGATGTTAATGTAAAAAAATTATTGTCTTGTATTTTGTAAAATTAGATGTGTTACTGAGCACAAAGTTTTGATGTTACTGTGAATATTAAAATATATTAAATATTATACGTCTCAAGATTTGCAATTGTATGTTAAAATTCACTATAGTAACATTAGTGTCAGTATAGTAACATGACTCTAATTGTAATTCAATCATATAGTAACATAAATGTTATTATATATTAACATTTGTGTTATTGAACTTTGTTGACATTGTTCAGTCTCTCTATATTATGCATTACTGTTGTCAAGAAATTTTGTAATCCGATTTTAATTTAATAGACCAACAATTTATTCGTATATTAAGCTTCCCATATATAATTATTAAAATATATAACTTCCATATAAAACTTCTGTTAATTATCATAATATTTAATAAACGGTTTCCATATATAACTCAATCAAGGGTTTTCATATATACCTCAATGATCTAACCTATGTGACTTTTCATAACTAGACAAAACTAACACCGTTAGAGGTAATATTAAGATTTAAAAAATAAGCGGACTTAAGTACGTACATATAAGTTTAAACATGAACTTACCCCCAAATAAGTTTTCTTCTAGGACTCAAGTCATTATAAGTTCATCTAGGGGGACTTACTTTCAATTTTCACTTTAATGAATATAGAGAAGAAGACGACATAGTAGAGGTAGATATAATTCCATTACCTGAAAGATTTAGTAAGGAATCATTTTGATAAGTATCTATATGATTTACTACTGGTTGTTCTGTAGCTTTGGATTGAACCTTGAGAAGAGTGAGTAATTGCTAGATCTGATCTAGAGTTATTGATAACTGTGAAAGGTGCTGCAGTTTTGTCANTGGAGGTTGGTCCTCCTATATGGACTTATTTGGAGATAAGTCCGTTAAGAAAACTTATTTAGTTTTAAATCTGCTTTTTGTCAATTTTACTATTATAACCCTTCCCTGTAAGAATGTTATAAACGACGTTTATGGACACAATAACCAGAGATAAACATCTCATTCATAATCGCCTTCAAATCTGGCTACAATCTTCCAAACAACAATGTTTCCTTATCCGAAAAACAAGAAACAAGCATTTATAAAAAACCGTTCATATTCAAATTTCAAATCCATTACATTCCATAAAATATAATTTCAATTTATTATTCCAGTTTACTTTGGACTTCATCGACAAAATATTAATATTGAATATTAATATTTAAAAAATAACAATAATAACATACTTAAAAAAGATAGTAATATGGTCACCAAAAATAGTAAAATGCTCACAAAAAAATAGTAACATGGTAAAACAGTAATAATAATTAGGAATTTAATTCAATTAAACTGGGCATTAACCTTGTAATAAAGATTCAAGAGAACTCATCTATTAGTACTAAATTAAAGTGTTATAAATTTTGATTTTGTTGATTTTTTTGTTGCATAAGACAATCGAGTATTTCTTAGTTGTGTTACTGTGGAAAAAATTCATATTACTGTACGTGAACCGAAAAATAGAGTTCAGAATTTCAATGTCTTGATGTTCACAATTAGTGTTGAGTGTCGTAATTCAACTGTTGATTGTGCGTTACTTTTCGTCATTTTGTAAATTTTTAATTTGTGGATCGTATTTTCACTAAAATCATTCGAAAATTGATGTTAATGTAAAAAAATTATTGTCTTGTATTTTGTAAAATTAGATGTGTTACTGAGCACAAAGTTTTGATGTTACTGTAAATATTAAAATATATTACATATTATACGTCTCAAGATTTGCAATTGTATGTTAAAATTCACTATAGTAACATTAGTTTCAGTATAGTAACATGACTCTAATTGTAATTCAATCATATAGTAACATAAATGTTATTATATATTAACATTTGTGTTATTGAACTTTGTTGACATTGTTCAGTCTCTCTATATTATGCATTACTGTTGTCAAGAAATTTTGTAATCTGATTTTAATTTAATAGACCAACAATTTATTCGTATATTAAGCTTCCCATATATAATTATTAAAATATATAACTTCCATATAAAACTTCTGTTAATTATCATAATATTTAATAAACGGTTTCCATATATAACTCAATCAAGGGTTTTCATATATACCTCAATGATCTAACCTATGTGACTTTTCATAACTAGACAAAACTAACACCGTTAGAGGTAATATTAAGATTTAAAAAATAAGCGGACTTAANTTATATATACCTCAATGATCTAACCTATGTGACTTTTCATAACTGGACAAAACTAACACCGTTAGAGGTAATATTAAGATTTAAAAAATAAGCGGACTTAAGTACGTACATATAAGTTTAAACATGAACTTACCCCCAAATAAGTTTTCTTCTAGGACTCAAGTCATTATAAGTTCATCTAGGGGGACTCACTTTCAATTTTCACTTTAATGAATATAGAGAAGAAGACGACATAGTAGAGGTAGATATAATTCCATTACCTGAAAGATTTAGTAAGGAATCATTTTGATAAGTATCTATATGATTTACTACTGGTTGTTCTGTAGCTTTGGATTGAACCTTGAGAAGAGTGAGTAATTGCTAGATCTGATCTAGAGTTATTGATAACTGTGAAAGGTGCTGCAGTTTTGTCATTTGATGATGAGTATTGTCCATTAACTTGATTTGTTGAATTCGAATTGCCTTTTTCCTTTGTGAATCTAAAACCTGGAATCCATGTAGTTTGTAACATTTGTCAGTAGTATGGCATGTTTTTCCACAATGTGTACAAGTTGGCCTGGTCTTGTTTGAGTTTTGTTTGATGTTTTTCTGTTCAAATGAAGTATTTGATCTAATAAGAAGAGCAGCATAATCAATGCTGGGAGAAGATGAGATAGTAATCTCTCGCTGTCTTTCTTCTTAAAGAATCCAGAAAACACCTTATAGATCAAAGCAAGAGGATCTTAAAGAAGAATATGACTGTGTATCTGATTATATGAATCATTCAATCCCATCAAGAATTGAATAACATAATCTTGCTGTTGAAATTCAGCTGACTTCTTCAGCATCAACTCATCCCAAAAGTCCTTTGAGACGAGTATAATAGGAGTCAGAGCTGATCTTGAGCTAAAGAAGAAATTGATTTCTGTGACTTCAGGATTCGAGGTCCATTTGTCTATGAGAACTTTGCTTCCAATTCCTGCCAAATCTCTTTGGCCGAGTTTACATATAAACGATTTCCTTCGAAAGAGTATTCAAAATCCAAGAGATAACCATGTTATTACGTTGAATCCATGAACTGGGAAGTGGATCAGTCGGATCTGTAGGTTTGGAAGCTGTTCCATCGATGAAACCTACTTTCTTCTTGGCACTCAATGCCATGAACATTGATCGACTCCATGAGTTGTAATTCTCTCCAGTCAGTGGCTGAGAAACTAAAAAAGCTCCTGGACTATCTCCATTATGAATGAAGGAGTGTGAAGAATCTTCAGTTGGACTTGAAGTAGAAGATGTAGTTGAATCAGCTGCAATTGTTGCAGAGATTCTGAAATAGAGTAAGCTTTAATTGAGCTCTGATACCATGTTTATCTCGAGGAAATGAAGCTGAAGCTGAAGTTGAAGATTCAAGAGGGAGAGAAAGATGGAATGATCTCCATTCAATTCAATATGAAATCTGTTTACATCATCTACTATTTATATAGTACATTACCGACTGTAACAAGAATCTATCTAATTAAATACAGCTAACAACTTCTAACAAACCTACCAACTTGACAGTTAAGCATAACTAACTTTAACTAACTATAACAGCTTTGTGAAGTGCCTCATTCTCAATAATGTGAGAGGTTAAGTTCCAAATCTGATGAATTGTGTAAAAAGAAAGGTTTCATACATGACTGAGCTGGGACGGAATGAAAAACCCATGGTTTAATAGAAAACATGACCCATGTTAGAGCACAATGGCAAAAGAGAATTCATGCAGCCGACCCCAAAAAAATTGGGACAAGGTGTTCTTGAGTTGAATTGAGTTGGTCGCAGTTGTCATTTCACTTTTCCAGTTGGTATTAGGTGCTTGATTTTACCAGTTAGAGCGTGTAAGTACTTGGTAAAAACTTGGTCATTACACTTCCACAAACTTCCGCGAATTTGGTAGGAGTTTCTAATTTGTATAATGAATTATTTACACTATGTATGTGCTTAATTTGGACTTTAGATTTTAGAAAGTTATTATGATATCTTATTATTGTCTATTTACATATTAGGATAAATAATGCATAATACTTCCGATTGTTAGATTGCAGAAACTAAGGTCTAACTGATTTTCAGTTTCTCAACTCTTAGCTAGACTGTTGATAAATGAATTCATTCCCTGAAATTTGAGTATGAAGTTGATCACTTTTTTTCTTGAGCAATTCTGAAAGTAGTCTATTGCATCCTGATGTATTGAATTATCATTTCAAGAAATATGCATCCCAAAATATTTCAAACCAATCATATACCGATTTTCCATGCTGCTGGAGCTGCCATTGTTTACCTCCCCGTAAAAAGAAGCTGCTGTTGTTAACTTTGGTGCAGTTTTAACACATTGACTTTGCTGATTCTTGAGTCTGTCATACCATCAAAACCTTAACTTGTTTGAAGTCATTTTTACTGCAACTGAAACTGGGTGTCTTACTTGTTGAACAGGTTGCTAGAGAACCTAATTCAGCAGCCCCTCTTTATCCTGTCCAGAAATCGGTAGGAGTCGACGATGGCAAGCTTGAGTGACAGATTCTCTGCGTGGACATCAAAATTGAATGCTTTGTAAATTTTCACAGCGAAAAGACAATTTANTTAACAGGTTGCTAGAGAACCTAATTCAGCAGCCCCTCTTTATCCTGTCCAGAAATCGGTAGGAGTTGACGATGGCAAGCTTGAGTGACAGATTCTCTGTGCGTGGACATCAAAATTGAATGCTTTGTAAATTTTCACAGCGAAAAGACAATTTATCTAGTTGTTGTTTGAGGATAACGATATGCGATGCTGTCAAATTGTTTCTTTGTTATCAATAACAGGTTACTAAGGTGCGCTATGTCTTTTGCAACTTTATATGCTTCTAACCTTCAAAACTGAATTGGTAATTGAGTGGGGGGCTTATTACATTATTCCTATAAAGTTTGATCAGGAAGTCTGATTTGGGCAGAGGCATTTGAACCAAACCCTTTTCTGATCTTCCCCTGCGAACCCACCATTGGCCTTTGGTTACAGTTGGGCTCTTGATGGTGGCCATTGCATGCTCTATTTATGTTTGCACCCCTCCGACCTTGATGAGCCATGTCGGTGCCAATTGTCTGCTGCTAAACCTTTATGTAGTTACCGCTCCTAAAACAAACAGTAAATTAATGGAATTTATACTACTGTGTTTGTAAAGTAGTAGACCCCCTCCCCTTCTTCCCTTTCTATGTTTCTCTCTCCTTAAATGAAAATGCATATGTAATCCTGTCTTGTCCAACAACTTTATTTATTCTCATCCCTCTATTACGGTATTACCTACCACTCTGACCAACCCTGCCTGCTTGGCCAATTGAATTAATTCATTTGGGAGTCTTTTCTGTATGCATAGAGAGAGAGAGAGAGAGGAGTGGGTATATGTCTATGTGATACTTCGATAAATTCAGAATTCCATTGAAATCCACTGCCTTAAAAAGACATCAAGTTTATTTCTGCAGTGTATCCGTGGACAAACANGGAGTGGGTATATGTCTATGTGATACTTCGATAAATACAGAATTCCACTGCCTTAAAAAGACATCAAGTTTATTTCTGCAGTGTATCCGTGGACAAACAAAGTATTGTTCAAAACAAAGAAAGTATTCTCTGAAGTGCACGTAATATTTTCTGATTTTAGAAAAAATAATTGTAGGCGATGGGAGGTAAATTATACTGAGATTGGTGATGGCTTTTGCCACAAGTAAGGAGTTAGAAACTCTATATAAGCTTTAACAGCAATTTCCAATTTTGATAGACAACAAACGTTGTAGATAGACAGAACAAACTTTGTAATTCTATCGAGGGTTCTCCAAGAATAAAACAATACAAGCAAGAAAGAAAGTCAGGAAAGAGCATACATCTCCTACTTGGGTTCTACTTTTGTTGAAAGTGTGTAACCACCGCTGTAGTCAAAGGCATCACTTTCATTAACATCCTTTTTAGGCAGAGCATCGTTGTAGGGATGTTTAGGAGCTCCTCTCATTGATCCAAAGTCTGTGGCTGATGAGGAGGCAGATGTTGAGTTCGTGTTCAGCCCATCGTTCTGTAGAATGGTTTCGAGTGCCTTAACTACTTCACTCATAGTTGGACGGTCTGCAGCTGATTCTTCCACGCATTGCATTGCCAACTCCAGAAACCTCCCGAACCCTATAAGATTTGCCATGCTTCTAATGGATGTATCCATTATCTCCCTCAAGCCATAAGTCTCCTCATCATTCTTATTCATTGCCGTTCTCACCTCACGGACTATGTATTTTCCCTTCTCGATTGGCTGCTTAGCGGTTATCAGTTCAAGCATCACCACACCAAAACTGTAAACATCGCTTTTCTCTGTCAATTGCTGAGTCATATAATACTCTGGATCGAGATAACCCTGCAACCATAGGACAATGATAGATTGGTAAAAACTTTAAAAATGAGAGGTTTTGGGAGCAGTAATACCCACCAGTGTGCCTTTAACTTGAGTTGACACATGCCCTTTTGCACTGTCTGATACTAGCTTAGACAAGCCAAAATCTGCAACCTTTGCTGTTAGATGTTCATCCAACAGAATATTGGTGGACTTGATATCTCTGTGAATTATAGGAGGATTTGCAAGCTCATGTAGATAAGTTAGTCCTCTGGCTGAACCAACGGCAATACGAAGCCTCCTCTTCCAATCTAAATGAATGCCGGATCTCCCTATAATGCACAATATGCAGAACAATTCCAAGTAGATGTTAAAAAAGGTAGCCTTATGCTGTGGTATTTCTCAAATCAAAAAACACTTTCTGATATTTCTAGAACTGTCATCTTAAAAAATTTCCATTTTTGGGGTTTTGTGTACAAGAATAATTAAGTTAGGAATTAGGATCCCTATCCACGGAGAAGTATGAATCTGTGAATCCAATTAAAAGTAGTTGAGCGTCTTTGTGTGACCAAATATAAGTTATATCCAGTTTTTTGCTCTTTAGTGTGTTGGTTTACATACTTCATTGTGGGTTTGTACCAAGTCCCTCTCTTATATTCTCCATTCATCAAATAAAGGTTCCTCATGATCTCTGTCAAAATTTCTTAAGTTGCAAACCAAAAATATAGAATTTTAAGCAGAATTGAGATTACCTGACAAACTTTCTCTAAGTGTCCCATTAGGCATATATTCGTATACTAACATCTGTTCTCCTTGTTCAAAACAAAACCCCACGAGGCCAACAAGGTTCTTGTGATGAACCCGTGAAAGCAACTCAATTTCAGTCTTGAACTCAAGCCCACCTTGCATGGAACCTTGTTGAGCTCTTTTGATTGCAACGAGTTGCCCGCTAGAGAGCATTCCTCTGTAGACCTAAACGGAAAAAACGGAAATAAGTAGCAAATTAAGTAACATTTCCTTTCTGTCAAGGAAGGACTCCAACAGTACCTTGCCATAGCCTCCAGATCCAATCTCATTATTATCAGAGAAGTTATTGGTGCATTTCTTGAGTTCATCATAAGAGAACCATCTAGCTCCTTTCAGTTGTGGTGCATCTCCACTGTCTTTGCCGCTAGGAGCCCAAGAAGCTACATACATAAGAAAAGAAATAAGCAAACAATATTTCGGAGAGATGCATCTTCCAAGACATTCCAAATGCATTAACTTTGCACTTTCTAGTAGAAAGCAAGAATTACCAAATGGTTTGCTCAATCCAATGGCTTTCTCAGCACGTTTCTTTTGCTGAACAGCATATATCCCTAGCCCCACAAGGACCAGGACCAAAATGGCACAGCCAATTGCTATTCCAATAATTATATTCGAGCTGATAGAAGTTCCTCGATGTCCGTCTGAAAAGATTTTTGTAATTTTTGGTTAATTGATTGTTGTTAAATTGTTGTGAAACTGTGCTTTTGGATAAGTATTCATGAAATTTACCGTCGAAGATGTATGGTGCCGCTAAAAAATAATAGGGTCCAAACTCTTCAGGAGGCTTGTAAGTTTGATTACTCAAAGCGAACCCAATCCTCTGAACCCCTGACCTAGTAAAATATTTCCCAGTGGATGGAAAGAGTGCCAACTGAACTTGAAGATAGTCATCGCTATTAAAGAAGGGGTTCTGTAGGGAAACTGAACCAGGATTGAGGCCCAATTTTGTCCACAGGCTCAATTNATCCAATCCTCTGAACCCCTGACCTAGTAAAATATTTCCCAGTGGAAGGAAAAAGTGCCAACTGAACTTGAAGATAGTCATCGCTATTAAAGAAGGAGTTCTGTAGGGAAACTGAACCAGGATTGAGGCCCAATTTTGTCCACAGGCTCAATTCTAGAGAATGGAACATGTTAGCATTAGACAACTCCCTGAATGAGGGTCCTCTGAAGTACAATGTCCCTTCATATGGATAAGCACAGTCACAGCTCTGAGGGTTGAGTTTCTGGTCGGAAGAACATGATTTGCTTCCACAATTAGCTAGGCTGGTAGAGTAAGGTTTTGCCGTTTGTTGCTGAAGCTGACAGTAATCTGTATTTTCAAGATGACTTGTGCATACTGGGTTTCCAATCAATCTGAAGTACATAAATCGACAGATTAGCAGAAGGTCNACGGATAAGCACAGTCACAGCTCTGAGGGTTGAGTTTCTGGTCGGAAGGACATGATTTGCTTCCACAATTAGCTAGGCTGGTAGAGTAAGGTTTTGCCGTTTGTTGCTGAAGCTGACAGTAATCTGTATTTTCAAGATGACTTGTGCATACTGGGTTTCCAATCAATCTGAAGTACATAAATCGACAGATTAGCAGAAGGTCAGGGGAGAAAATATGCGTTATCATTCACATGGATTGTTAGGATTTGTGACCTCTTACATTAATGTATTTGTGTATCCAGAGCCAAGTGTCACTGAGGATATATTGTTGTTCTCCAAATCAACAAGTTGCAGCTGCGGGCTGATGCTGCTACCCATGTTCAACGTGGCGTTCAGTGCATTGTTCCTCAGTTTCCTGTCAAAAGTTCACAAGAACTAGATCATCACTTTCACTTTGCTTCTTNTCACTGAGGATATATTGTTGTTCTCCAAATCAACAAGTTGCAGCTGCGGGCTGATGCTGCTACCCATGTTCAACGTGGTGTTAAGTGCATTGTTCCTCAGTTTCCTGTCAAAAGTTCACAAGAACTAGATCATCACTTTCACTTTGCTTCTTTTTTGTAGGTTATAAGAATTAACATCTACTGATATTGTCTACTAATCTCTGAACTTACACTTGTCCTATCTGTGGGAAACTGAAGAGTCTCTGTGGCACAGATCCTTGAAGTGAACTATATTCCATAACCCTGCGCACCACAGCAGAAATTCCACGTAAGATGGATAGGCAATTCAAGGATATCCCAATGTCGTAAGTTGTGACTTGCTAAAAACTCACAAAGTGGTTAGTGATGATAAGGTTGAGAACCAAGCTGGAGCTTCTGATGGTGTAAAGGAGTTGTTGCTTAAGTCCCTGCAGAGAGACACAATAGCCCATGTTCTTATCAGTCTAACTAAGACTCGAGGCAGATATAATTGGATAAACGATGCATATGTCACTTACAAGTAATTGAGCGAGTCCATTCCAGTCAAGTCTGGTAATGCACCAAACAGGTTGTTGTGTGCTAAATTCCTACAAGAGAACATTAGAGCATGAGGAAGGACATTTTAGTAAATCACTCATCGTTTAAATATAAGCANAGACTCCACACTTTGAATAAGTGAAAAATTATAAATAAACTAGTTAAGACTAACCCGTCAACCAATCAACGACCCGAACCAGGTGGGACTGGTCAATACCAACCCTTGGCTTCTGAGTTATGCATATATATTGGTAATTGGAAAATACTTTGAATCCCAAATTTGAAAATGTTAGTGTCTAGTCTTTACATTCGACTAAAACAACGAGCGAGAGAAACTCACAAGGATTTCAATTCAGTGAGACCTCCGATATCACCGGTTAGTTTACCCACGAGTCCCATTGTTGATAACCCCCTGAAAAAAAAAACCAAAACTTACCATAAGTTGAGTTTTCTACTAAAACCGGAGGCTTTCAAGTCAAAAATACAATGCTGCTTTAAAAAAAAAAAAGTCAAAAATACAACACCACCACGGTGGTAGCGGCAAATATACAAACACTTGGTGAACGAGACGAAAGGTAATTATAAACATAAACACCCACAGTGCAGTGACCCTTGAGTTTTCGCAGGCGACTCCTTCCCAGGGTGTTCCACAAGCATCATCTGACTTTCCCCAGCTTGGTGGTGTGTTCTGCCACTGATCCTTCAAAGATCGGAGTACCACCACTGCACCACCATTTTTGGTAAATCAAATGTTAAAAGCTCTGGTCAAACAAAGAGGTTGTATATGGGGATGAGGGTCCGTATCGAACAATATTTTCTCTTGTACCTTCACTTTTAATCAATTGAAATACGCTTATATAATTTTTTAAAAGCTATGGTCGAGAGTTGTGGACTTGGGTACCGTATCCTTGCCGGGCCGGGATGAGAATGATCATCTAATCTAGTACTAAATCATTCCAAAACAGGAGCATAATGTATCATACTATCAAAATTCAAGGATTTGTGATAGGGGACCATTCAGAAATCTATTGTCTACCATGGTTTAGAATTTCCCTGCACAATTGAATGAAATGCTACATGCTAATAATTGGAAAAAAAAACATTTTCGTCCCTACTGGCATTGAAATTTGATATGGGCAACTTTGCAATGATTTTTTAATTCTTTGAGAAAAGATGGTAAGAAACATTTCTAGTGTGTAGGTTCCTTTCAGGCTTTTGATCCCAGCGATGACATACCCTGTCCCACATACTAGCTTGAAGGATTGAATACAATTCTGGTCATTAAGATATGCTACGATTCNGCAGCGGCAAATATACAAACACTTGGTGAACGAGACGAAAGGTAATTATAAACATAAACACCCACAGTGCAGTGACCCTTGAGTTTTCGCAGGCGACTCCTTCCCAGGGTGTTCCACAAGCATCATCTGACTTTCCCCAGCTTGGTGGTGTGTTCTGCCACTGATCCTTCAAAGATCGGAGTACCACCACTGCACCACCATTTTTGGTAAATCAAATGTTAAAAGCTCTGGTCAAACAAAGAGGTTGTATATGGGGATGAGGGTCCGTATCGAACAATATTTTCTCTTGTACCTTCACTTTTAATCAATTGAAATACGCTTATATAATTTTTTAAAAGCTATGGTCGAGAGTTGTGGACTTGGGTACCGTATCCTTGCCGGGCCGGGATGAGAATGATCATCTAATCTAGTACTAAATCATTCCAAAACAGGAGCATAATGTATCATACTATCAAAATTCAAGGATTTGTGATAGGGGACCATTCAGAAATCTATTGTCTACCATGGTTTAGAATTTCCCTGCACAATTGAATGAAATGCTACATGCTAATAATTGGAAAAAAAACATTTTCGTCCCTACTGGCATTGAAATTTGATATGGGCAACTTTGCAATGATTTTTTAATTCTTTGAGAAAAGATGGTAAGAAACATTTCTAGTGTGTAGGTTCCTTTCAGGCTTTTGATCCCAGCGATGACATACCCTGTCCCACATACTAGCTTGAAGGATTGAATACAATTCTGGTCATTAAGATATGCTACGATTCCCAGATTAGTATTAAAGTTTTGACAATTTAGTTCTTAATATTGTAGATTTATAGTTAAGTGGTCCAATTTTCATGCAAATATTAAAGATACTACTGTCTAAAAATATACTAAAAAAATGAGTAAATTAAACTCCATAGTAATTAGATTACAAAACTTGTTATTACTTAAAATTAGAAGCCGATGACTAGACCAAATGNAGATACTACTGTCTAAAAATATACTAAAAAAATGAGTAAATTAAACTCCATAGTAGTTAGATTACAAAACTTGTTATTACTTAAAATTAGAAGCCGATGACTAGACCAAATGATGATATTGGTACTCTTCTCTACCTATAAAAGCAGCCGTGCTTGATGTTTCATGGAATCCCACCAACAGGAACAAGATGACATAACAAGTTGAAGAAAAGTAGCAAAACAGTAATGGAGATCGCTTGTTTTATTTCTGATTCAAATAGTAGAAATGAAATTACCCACGAAGAATCAACTTGATCAAAGCAACCAGTAGGCGTATATGTGTGTGAGCTGACACACATTTGCATATGCATGTATGCATGAATCAAAGTAAAGATAGAGCCTTCAGGAACTTACAATCCCCAGGGTCTGTTACAGAGGAGATCACATGAATTCCCGNCTTGATCAAAGCAACCAGTAGGCGTATATGTGTGTGAGCTGACACACATTTGCATATGCATGCATGCATGAATCAAAGTAAAGATAGAGCCTTCAGGAACTTACAATCCCCAGGGTCTGTTACAGAGGAGATCACATGAATTCCCGCAGAGAAGACGAGAAAGCAGAGCAGCCCAATGGCTGCCATTGCAACTTATCCCTCAGATCTAGAAGTTGATTTCTTGATGGTGTTTGGTCAGCTCTGCTGCAATGAAGAACAAGCCAGATTTTCTTGTAACAAGATCCACTTTACTACCCTTTCTCTCTTCGTTTCCAACGAATTACAGACCCTTAGTGTTGGCCTGCAATGTCGTTTGGAGGTTAGGGATGGATAAATATCAGCTCTGCTTGGGTGTGCCGGTCTCTGTCTGTTGTGATTAATACTGCCAACTGAGTGCTAACTACCGCACTTCGTCGAGTGGGTTATGTGCATTTTAATGATTAGCCTTTGCTTAGAAGCCAATCCAGCTACCAATCACCCACTACCCCCTCAAAATCATCGTTTCATCATAATCGTTTAGCCCTTTTCTCTCTCCAAAAGTCTACATCATGGTGATAAATTATGATAACCTGTGTGGATTATTGTAGTTCACGTCTTGCCGTTTCCTCTGCCGGCCCAACATTATTCACGAGAATGACAAAGACAATCAGCTATTCGTCGCATCTTTTCCGAATGGTGGACGACATTTGTACGAATTTACATTTTTTACTACGTCAACACACCGAGCCATTCAATGCTCACTGTCGACAGTAGGATGGTGGGCCAGAATCGAAACCAAACCACTCCCCCCCTCCTCTCTCTGTCTCTCTCTATCCACAAGAGCGAGTTGATTGCAATGGCTGAACGTTTTGATTCTATTTCAAGTTTTCCATATTAACAGATCCTTGCACCAACACCCAAAGTTACAGAGAGTAGGTTACAAGTTTGCAACTTAGGTGATAGTTAGTGCTTTGGGTAGTCGGAAAATAGAGTACAAGATAGGGTTTGCTGAAGAAGAGGCTAATTGGGGTATGCCCTTCTTGTTCTTGAGCTTCCGGGATTACCTTTATGAGTTTGTCTTGAAGTTTTGTTAGCCAAGATTGAAGAGGCCTTTTGCATGCTGATTTCTTATACTTGTTGCACATGTCTGATGCATTTTTGTGGAGTTGATTGTGTAATAGTTGTTCTCTGATTTTGTAANTTAAGTTTTGTTAGCCAAGATTGAAGAGGCCTTTTGCATGCTGATTTATTATACTTGCTGCACCTGTCTGATGCATTTTTGTGGAGTTGATTGTGTAATAGTTGTTCTCTGATTTTGTAATTTTGTTGATGCTTTTAGTTTGTTAAAGTTGGATTGATTTTGCATACGAGTGAACTCTCAAATTTTGAAATATGACCACATCTATTTGATTTCTAAAAAAGATTATTAATTCTTGACTTTTGAGGAATTCTTCATCAATGGTTGTGAATGATTAATTGTTTTCAATCTTTTTCGATCTTGGTCCCGTAGGAGCNATGACCACATCTATTTGATTTCTAAAAAAGATTATTAATTCTTGACTTTTGAGGAATTCTTCATCTATGGTTGTGAATGATTAATTGTTTTCAATCTTTTTCGATCTTGGTCCCGTAGGAGCAAATCACAAAGATTGAGAAATAAAACCATCTAATTTGAATCGTTCTCACATTTGACACTGGACTAGGGATATTCNGCAAATCACAAAGATTGAGAAATAAAACCATCTAATTTGAATCGTTCTCACATTTGACACTGGACTAGGGATATTCAAACTATGCCTCCTTTACAAAATTTTTGAGTGCTTTTTAGTATAAAGCTGTGATTATTATGTTTTTTTCTATATTTTGGAGCTCATGGGATATTTGAATAGCTTTATCAGGGGAGAAATACCCACAGAGAAGAGACCAGAGGATTCATATGAACATTTGAANTTATCAGGGGAGAAATACCCACAGAGAAGAGACCAGAGGATTCATATGAACATTTGAAGTTGCTTACTGAACAATAAATGGTTGGACCTGAAATCACTGCTTCCTGAACAAGAAACAATGATCAAGGGGAATGAAATCATACTCCAGCTTAGGAATACCAAATTAGCTATGGATGTTGGATGATTTATGAAAGGGTAATTACTTGGTAAAGTGCTCTGATTGTGAAGGGTGAAAACATGGTTCGAGTGTTAGAATACCTGTTTTTCGTAGATTATGTCGATTTGTCTCCAATGAATTCTACAACTGTTCAATTGCCAGGGTAAAGAGTGACTGATTCCTATTTACAAAATCTCAAAGTAAATGTAATTCTCAGTGAAACAACATAGCTTTGATCCGAAAGTTCTGTAGGTCATGTTATGCAAGTGATCATGGGCTGATCCAACGAGTCAGTAAGAGGGAAGCTTCATCGATATGCAAGACAGGGGTCTGGTGAGTGGGGCTGAAGGGGAAATCAAGTATCAAATTGTGTATTCCAGAGGACCATTGCTCTTATTCAGTTATTCCCTCCACAGGCGACAGAATTGCGACAGGTTGAAAGTCAGAGAGACAGGACACTAAACTTTGGGGTTGCAGTTTTGATGATGACATTGTTAATTCCACATGATGAGTGTTTTTTTACTACTTTATTGACTGAACATCGATTTCAAGTAAGACTGAATCAAGTAATATGCTTTGTTTGTCGTATCCTTTCTGACGTAGTCTAGGAAAGAACAAGAAGAGTCTCCTCCTTGAGAACAACTTCAAAGCAACAAGCCTTGCGCAGGACTGAGAATCCAACTCCAATGTGGAGTCTAGTCGATGCCAGAGCCGGCCCAACGGTATATTGAAAAAAAGTTTGGGCTTTACACCCCATTTTAAAGAAAGACCCAAATTTTTAAGAGATAATGAGATGTGAGTATTTTTTTCAAACTTTTTTGACTTTAAGTACCACATCCAAACTTATTCTCATTTAAGTCTTCTTTTTCATTAAATAGTTGTCAATAAGTACACATTTTAAAACATTTTCAAATTTTTTCTAAAATGTATTCCATAATTACCCCTACCATAAATAGTGCATATCTACTTGAATGTAAGACTTTTAAGATTCCTTTTGATATTTGTGTACCATTTAAAATTTGAAATTTTATATATATATATACACACACACGTAATACAGTGACACATTCAACAAAAAAATAATAACATCAAACAGTGACACGCTCAATAAAAAAATAGTAACATCAAACAGTGACACGCTCAACAAAAAAAGAGTAACATCAAATAGTAGCACGTTCAACAAAAATATTTGTGTTACTGGTTGATGTTACTATTTTTTTGTTGAGTGTGTTACTATTTGATGTTACTCTTTTTTTGTTAAGCGTGTCACTGTTTGATGTCACTATATTACGCGCGTGTGTGTATATATATATTTATATATGAAATTTTAAAATTCAAATGATACACAAATATCAAAAAGAATCTTGAAAGTATCACATTCTAATCTTGAAAGTCTCACATTCAATTAGGTATGCATTATTTATGGTAGGGGTAAAAGAGCTTTTATGACTTTTTTTTAGCACATGTACTTCTATCCCAATTATTTTAAAAAGTATACTTTTATCCTATTAAATTTTTTAGGAGGTACCGGCCTCCCTAAACCCCAATTTTTAAATACCGTAAATAACCCATGTAAAAAAGGCCTTATAAAAATATAAGTCTAATCAATTATTTAGGCTCATAGCCCAATCCAAATATTAAATATTTTTAAAAAATTAACAGTAAAAAAAAAATCCTGAATTCAAAGGTCACATCAAACTAAAAAAAATCAAAAAATTAAATTATTACCTTACTTTTAACTCCCTCTTTCTCTCTCTAAACCAACACAAAAAACAATCTTTTTTTATTCTTTCTCTCTCATTAAAATAAAACCAAAACACTCTTCTTCTTCTTATCTCTCTCTCTCTCTCTCACACACACATTTCTCTCAACTTACAAGAACATACTAACAGTGACTTGGCCTCCTTCCTCCATCATCGACTTGAAGGACATGGTTTAGAACCAAAAGCCAACATTTGAGATTATTCAAGGTTCTATTGTTTCATAATTTTAATTTTTTTTTTTGTGTTATTTGCTTTCTTTTTAGTTTCTGCAAAAAAATATTTATGTCTTAAATTCAAGGTTGTGTTATATCTTTTAACTAAACTATATATTGTGTTTGTTTGGTTGTTATATAGTTATAATAAATTAATAATATGACATTAAAAAAACGATCAAGTGGATACGAAAAATTAAAAAAAAAGAAAAAGAAAAATAGATCAACTAATAGAATCTCAAAAAGAATTTCTTGATAAATTTGTTGCTAGTAACAAAAATAATGTAACAAAAAATGTAGATGAAAATTTTGAAAATGAACCAGTAGACAATGAAATAGAAGAAAATAAAATTAAAAAATATTGAAATAGAAGATAATAAATTAAAAAATATTGAAATAGAAGATAATAAAATAAAAAATATTGAAATAGAAGATAATAAAATAAAAAATATTGAAATAGAAAATATTGAAATAAAAGATAATAAAATAGAGGATAATGAAAAAGAAAATATTGAAAAATAAATAGTGAAATAAAAGATAATGAAATAGAAGACAATCAAAATCTTAATGAAACAAGTGATTATAATAATATAAATATTTATAATTCAAGTCAATAAAAAAATATTGATACAAAATTAAGAAATTTATTAGTAAAAAATGGTTCAATTAAATATAATAATTTAGATTTTTCTTGGGATGAACTCTCTAGACATTTTTCCACTACACATTATGTTTGTAAATTAATAAATGGGGAAACACTTGATGGAAGATGATTAGTATATTCAAAATATTTGGATAAAGTATTTTATTTTTGTTACAAATTATTTAATATGAATCATTGTACAAGTACACTAGCTAATGAAGTAACAAAAAACTGAAGAAATATTGGTGTTAAAGCTTAAAAATTATGAACTAACTAATGAACATATAACTAATATGAATACTTGGATTGAATTAGAAACAAGATTGCAACTAAATAAAACAATTGATAAAAGTATCCAAGAACAAATTAATAGAGAGAAAGAATATTGGCATAATATATTAGTAAGAATTATTACCGTCGTAAAGAATCTTGGTAAAAATAATT